TATTTTTTTTTTATATTTGTTCTTATTTAGAAAAAATTAGTGTTTTTATAAGAATTAGTTACAAATGATCTCTTTATCTAAGTCATAAATTTTTTCTTTATATTTGAATGGTCCTTATAATTCAAACTTAAAAAAATAAATTTTATAAAAAATAAAAGGTTTAGACCCCTTTTTGGTCCCTCAACTATTGTATGAACCCTCGATTTAGTCCTTGAACTGAAAAAATCCCTAACTTGGTCCCTACTATTTACCAATTTTACCCCAACTTTGTCCTTCCGTTAAAAATCTACCGTTAACTCACATTACTTAATGACATGGCAAAATTTTAAGACATGGCAAAATTTTAAGACACGACAAAATTTTAATACACGTAAAATTTACAAATGGAAAAACTGATGACATGGCAATATGACATGTTATATTCTTGTCCAATATTTAAAAAAGATGGGACCCACCAAAATTACAATTTTGCCCTCATCTTCTTCCTCCAGCCTTCTCTTTCTCAAATCTTCTCTTTCATTCTTCTTTTTCTCTTTTTGCCTCCTTTGAATCCACTTTCATCACCATTCTTCATCAATCAATTATTCATCATCATCAAAGAACAAAACCCACAAAAATAGAAAATCTTTTTGGCTTTTTGCACAAAACAAGAAATTTGTTGGGTTCAAATCCAACGGCTGTTGGGTTCCAATCGCTTGAACCTAGGCGTGTTGGGTTTGAACCCAGTAGCTGCTAGGTTCCAATGACTAGAACCCACGTGTTCAAACCTAGTGGCTGTTGGGTTCCAACTGTTGGAACCTAGGCATACTGGGTTCAAACCCAACGGCCGCTGGGTTCCAATGGTTGGAACCCACGCGTCCACGCATTCAAACACAACAACCGCTAGGTTCGAACATGTGGGTTCCAGTTGCTAGAACCTAGGCATGCTGGGCTTGAATCCATCAGCCGTTGAAACCCACACGTTTGCAAACCCAACATGCCTAGGTTCTAGCAGCTGAAACCCATGGGTTCAAACCCAACGGCTAGATCCCATGTGTGCTGGGTTCAAACGCTGGGTTCAAAAGAGCCTAGAACCCCAAGGGGAAAGAGAAGGAAAAAAAAATTTTAGACTTTTTTTTGTCATATCAATGTTTTTTTGCCATATCATTATTTTTGTTCATATCAGCCATGTTATCTTTCCATGTGTGTTTAATACTTTGACATGTCATTATATTGTTGTTAATTAACATGACAGGTCACATGATTTTTAATGAAAGGACCAAGTTGGAGTAAAATAGGTATATAGTAGGGACCAAATCAGTGATTTTTTTCAATTTGGGGACCAAATCAAGGATCCATACAATAGTTGAGGGACCTAAAAGGGGGTTTAACCAAAATAAAAATATTTGTACCATATTTAGCATCTTTCAAAAGTTTCCCCCGCCCGGTCCTATGCTGGCTTCGTCCACAACCATTGCCATTCTGCATCAATCCCATCCTCATGGAGAAGGAATATGGAACAAGGGCCATATATAAATCTTGCTTTTTTGGGTTTTCCACATCTAGTTCTTTCCCTTTCCATCAAGGAATTAATTCTGCTAGTGACTTGAGGTAAGCTTCACTTCAATATAGATGCCATTTTAATTTGTTATTGTCATAATTCAAATATTTGTCAAAAAGAAAATATATTTTAATTACATAAAGAATAAATTAAATTTTATCTTAAATTATTTTAATTTGCCTTACTTTCTATGTCTCAGGACTCAATCGTGAAAATGAATGAAGTTTGGGTTAAAATTTTGAAGGAAAATGGCAAAATCAAACTTATGTGAAGAAATTTGCAAAATAAGGAATCAAATAGGGAAGAGCATTGGATACGAGTATATCTGTTACTTTTAAGTACTTTATTTATCTAGATAAGTATCTTACCTGAATTACAAAAAAATTAGGTAAATAATGAGTATTAAAAAGATATATTAGTAAGTATCAAGTCAAGTGACAAGTATAAGAGTTTATAATTGTTTAATCGATTTGTAAACCATTTTATTTAACTAATATATTACCTATACTTATATAATTGAAATTTTATATATACTTATTATACTTAATATCTATATAGTAACAATAATTTTTAAAAATAAAAATATAAAAATAAACGAAATCATATGCATACCTATAAATAACAAACCCTAAACCAAACACATATTACACATGTAGTCAACAGCTTTTTTTCCTTCCTTGCACTCTTAGACAATGGTGAGTACTTATAATTTCAAATTTTGATTCTTTTTAGCTTTCTTTTTACTTTTCTAATATTAGTGACTTTCAAGCCATAGTCATTGTTTATCGTATAGATGACTCTTTAGCATCAAATTCCAAATTTAATATGATAAGAATCATAAATTAAAAATATAAATATCAAGATGTTAAAATAGATATAATAAAATTAGTTACTATCCCTTTCTAACAAACTGAAGTAGAGAATTAAAGGGATTATAAGTCCAAAAACCTAGACACCTTTTTTTAAAGAACTTTCATTTCGTTATCTAATTTATTTTTATTCTTTATTTTTGGGTACATATATTTTGCTCTTTATTGTTAATTATTTGATTGAGTTTAGTTTTTTAATAGCTTATAGATTTAAGTTCTTGATATGAAACTAAATTTTAGTTCTTTATTGTTATTTTAGATTATATTTAAGTTTAGATTGTAACAAACAATATTTTATTAAAATTTTACTAGCTTTATTTAAGTTTAAATTGAAAGTAAATAATATTTTATTAAATTTTAATTTAAAAAAATTTAAACAATATATAATCCAATAAATACATAGGCATATACTTGAAATTATCTAGTACTTATTAGGTTAAGTACTAAATACAAATCTTCAAAGATTTAGATAATCACCAAATTTAAAAAATTATATCTATAAATTTTTAAAAAATACCAAATATATTTTATACCCAGCCCTAACCAAAAACATGTTCACTTCTAGAATCATATGTGCAAAAAGGGGAAAACATTTTCCTATTTGAGCTTAATTGCATCCAGATCCAATTTAAAATCATGCAAAAATCCGATCCATATACAAAATTAACCCAGGCCCTTTCCTTAAAATTAGTTTTTTTAATATGTGTCTTTAAGTTAAGTAAATAAATAATTAATATATTTTTTATCATTAAATTATATAAAAAAATAAATTTTAATTTTAATTTTAATAATAAATTAATT